TACCCCTCACTATGTTTTAATATAGTTTCGGCTGTTTATTAATTGCCTTTTTTGAGTTTCGTCCCTCATCTTTAATTCTGACTATTAATAAAAATAATATTAGATAAAGGAGTTTGACTCCCTTTAATATGAAAAACATCATTTGTTGGTTGAGTGAAATTAATGTTTAGATGTTGTAAATTGTTTAAGAAAGATTCTAAAAAAACTAGAATTTTTAAATGGAGTATTTGTTGAGTTCCAAGAGATTAGTGGATTATCATACAAGTGATGTTGAAATTTGAAATTGAACATGTTTAAAATGAATTCTAAAGGTGGTAGCTGTAAGATTATTCTGGTTAATTAGTTTAGTGAAGTGATCATATTTTGCTTGAATTTGAATATCGTAGAACTCTCTATAAGTATAAGTTAAATTATGTCTAAAAATACTGTTTGGTAAACATTTATTCATTCTAAGTTTGTATTTAATAACAGATCTAATTGAAATGTATAATTTGTCACACCCAGCTTTAGAAAGAAAGGTTAATTGTGATCTATATTCTAATCTTGGAATAAGAACAGCATTATTGAGATATAAAATTATTTTGTCAGTCATGGGTTGGAATTTAATTTTAAGAACAAAGTTATCAATGATATTTTTTAGTTAATTAATAATAATTTTTTTGTTATTATCGATACTAAACCAAACTCTTAAATACCTAATTGATTCAGATCAATAATAAGTTAGAACACTGATTGATTTGCTTGTAATAGATAAGTTGAGATTGATGTAATGATTTTGATTTGGCAACATCAAAATTACAAAAGGTTTTTCTAAGTTAACTTAAATATCATTTAATTGATAGAAAGTATCAGCTATGTCAATAATCTGTTTGAGATTAGAAATGTCATTTGAAATTCAAGTAATATCATTCATGTATGAAGTAGCAGCAATGTTAATAAAGTTTGATGTTAGAGTGAAAGTATTTAGATTGAAAAATCAAGTTTGAGAAATGTTATACCCTAGATTTGATTGTTAGATTTTATATAATAATGGATCATAATAAATGATTCATAAAAGCAGAGAAATAATTTCACCTTGGTCAATACCAACTAAAATATCATATTTTGGTGATAATTCATGTTATGTGTAAACTCTATTTCTTCTATTCAAAAAAAGATTGGTGATAATGTTAATGAAGTTTGTGGGAATTTTTAAACAAGACATTGCTTTTTGTAACATGTAAATGTTTACTCTGTTATATGCTTTAAGCATGCATATCTTAAAATAGAACAAATAAATTTTAAGTAGAAGTATGATTGTTCAAGAGCTTATTTCTTCAGGTATCAGATCTAGCAGATTCTAGAATATTATTGACTATATAGAATGAGTCAATAGTTAAATTGTGAGAAAGGCTAGCAAAATTTAATCCTTTTAAAATGTTATATTTAGTACATATTTTGGATAGCTTATTCGTTAGAAATTTGACATAAATTTTTCTAACTGTTTCTAAAAGAATAATTGGCCTAGTATTATTAAGATTACCATAGTTTAAGTTTAGGAATATAGTCAAACCTTGATATAGCGAACCCTTGATATAGTGAATTTTTAAATCAAATATATTAAAATTACCTTTACTATAGTGAACTAGCCAATTAAATTCTTTAAAAAATTCATTATAAGCTTATAATGAAGTTGATATCCAGATCCTAGAATTCATTATATCAAGAGTTCACTGTACTTAGCTTTTGACTAGTTTCTTCTTGAAGTTCCTATTTGGAGTTTCTAGTTTAGAAGGTTACACGTGTCATCATGGGCTAATGATTCATTACTTCATTTCTTTATTAACCGATTTGGTTAATTTCACAGATCACCTTTTGCCGACTATTGTATTATTAATTCTTGCAGATCAATTCATATGATGATTATTTTGCAGATTATTTTACTGCGTCACACTTCCAATTTCATAAAGATCATTTGGATTACACTATGTAGAATTTGGCAAGTTAGATACTTATGATTTCTGATATACTGTGCCAGACCTTTGCTATAAAATTGTATGTGACGAGATTTATGTGAATAATTTCACTGCGTCTATTATACGCGTGATGATGGTCAGTAATTTTCTTAGTGAAGATCAAAATGCCGATATATAATAAGAAGAGCAAAATGTCTGTATTATTTTAGAATATCTATAGAGGCGGAAAATTGATTAACATCATGATAACATGTTTCAAGAAGCTAGCTGAGCAATAAACTAACTTACTTTATTATTTACTTTATAGAATATATGAGTTCGTTTGATTGTAAATATTAATGATGCAAATAACAGCAGTTTTAAATTTATTTATTTTATTATAATTTTTCGTTTTATTTTTCTTTGATTCTTGCTTATATTCGTACAAGGCAGATAAAAAGGTTTACTAACTAGGACATCACCTTTTTATACAATTTGCAGGATCAATCTTGAAACACGTTTGGGAAAAATTACGTTAATATGATCACATCATGAATATCTGATCAATAGCATCCTTTTAATTTAATAATAAAGAATTTAACGCTATCTGTATATAAAGATCATTAAGAGGCTATACATAATTTTGAGAATGTGTGAGAAAGTTTAAAAATAAATTATTACTTATTCCTGTGATATATGTGACGTTTATACTAAAATGTTTCCGAATGATACTGCAAATTTATTAAGTTCTAAATCAATGATTTTGTTACAATAAAACTTGATTGAAAAAATTATTAGCATACATGCTTTCCACAATTCCTCTATTGTATATCTGAATTTTGTAAATTAATTGCATCTTTAATTTATTGATCATACGAGAAAAAATACATAATACAGATCAAAGACTGCTATATAATAATGCTACTTCAAACTAGCTATTTAAAATGATAAATAATTAAAGCATTATACTGCTTCCTCTTCTGTGATGCTAATATTATTCTTAAAATTCTAAATGAAAAAATTGTCTATTAGCTTATTGCTTACCCAATACAACCGAAAGTAAATTGCATAATGACTTGTCCAAAGGTTTCTTCTCCAGTATTTTTTTTGCTGGCACTCTTTCATATTGCAATATGTTGTAAATGTTACTATGTGTTGAAAAAAAATATCTTAATCTCATACTATGCAATTTTTCAGGTGATTGATCTCACATGACCAGTCTAAACCACAATCACAAACTTGAATTTATTGCTTAAACTGTTGCAGGTAAGACAATATTCTGTTCCATTTTTATACCATTCATCATGTAATCTATAATTTCCATATTTTCTATCACAAATAGGGCATGATGAGTTAGTTCTATGGCTAAGCTAATGCAAAATTATAATTATCAATTCCCCTAAAACTATTTCAGAATTTTAGATATATGAAATGCTTAAGATAGATTCAATAATTAATTCTGAATAGGGTTTGGCTTCATAAATGATAGGCTTGAAATCAGAGGCTTGAGATTTTGTTGATACACTTGTCACAGCTTCTAATAATTGCCATAGTTCATATCCAGTATCTTTTTTATATCTTTTGTATAATTTAGTATGAATCTTATCTGTCAAAATACTAGGTAACCCACTTAATTTAGCATACCAGTTCAGATATTCGGGAGTTAATATTTTATTAGATTTGGTCATATTGCTTTTTATATGAATCAATTTAAATTTAATTAGGTAGTAGTTGACCTGTAAAAAAATCACATAATGAAGTATGAGCAAATGTAATATTATAAAATAATGAGATTATGCAGTTATCTCAATTTCACGCTGTTTATATTTAATAAAATAGGATTCAGTTTTATATCTACCTTCTATGCTTTCTTTATTACTATGGTCTAACTTGCATAATGGGCATGATGTCTTGTCAGTAATTCCATAATAATCAAAATGCTGCTACTAAATGCTCTATATAAAATAGAATATTGATCTAATGTTTTGTTGTAAAAATGGGCTCAGTCATAAGTTGAATTAGTCCTAGGAATTGGTGAACAAGATGTGATAGAGACATTTACCTCAAGTTTTGAATATGCATTAGTTTGATCACCATTGGTGATTTTTGAAAACATATGATTCTAATCGTTTCCTAAGAAAACAGTTTTTGAGATTATTTGATCTATAACATTTTGAATTTGTGCATTAGTTAATTTTGAAATCTCATTTGCACTACAAGTGATATACTTAATTTTATCAATTCCTATACCATTCTTTCTAAATAATTTGCAAATTTGTTTGGCTCTAAAAGTTTTAATCCGTAAAACAAACTAGTGTAATACCAATTAAATATTCTACCATTTTCTTATATATTTGTGTTCTTAGTTTTATCGGTAATTCCTGTATCATGACAAATCTCAGCAACTTTATTTTCAAAATTATCTGAATAACAAATCCAGAATAAAATCTCCTTATGTCTAATTCATACTGTATTTCTAAACAAATAGATTAAATTTTATGCTGTGACTTAGTTCAAGATACTTCAGAAGATTTTATAGTCAAATGCTGTTCATTAGATAGAGTAATAATACTATATATAATTCTGTAAATCACGTATTAGATCAAGTTTTATATTCTGATTTTTAGTAAATTCAATCTCATCAGAATCGTCAGTAATAGACTTAAGTTCTAATCTTAGAATAATTTTTTGCTGATCGTTTTCTGAGGAAACAGTTTTTATGTTACTTTCAATTTCATTATTTCTTAGAGAAGTTTCTGTAACAAGTGATAAGTTAGAAGAAACAGTTGACTTAAGTTAAATTTTCTTTTTCCTATTTCTCTGCTTTATCTTATCACTAACCTTTTCTTATCAATATTATCTAAGAAAACATCTGTTTTCTCATCCTTCAATAACTTCTGATAACTCATAGGTGAAGATAGCTGAAAGGAACTTTGCTCGACATTATTGTATTGATCTATAATAGAGTTAGGTATATTAACAACTTTTTCAGAAGAAATATTATGGGTTTGCTGTTTAATCTTCTCATTGTTATCTATTAGTTTCATTACTTCAGCCTTTAGCTTAGCAAATTCAACATTATGTCTAACATTCTCAGCTGAAGAATCCATCTTGCTTTTCTCTAACTCTTCGATTCTGGCCTTGAGTTCGGCATTCTCAACATCACATCTTTTACTCTCTTTCACAGCCTGTCTTAGAAGCTCAGCAATCCTGACCTTAAGCTTAGCTTTCTCAATCTCAGAATTAGTTTTCTCAATCTCAAAATCAGTAAACTTCCTTCTAAGTGAGGCATTCTTAGTCTTAAGCTCATCATTGTGTTGCTTCAATAATTTTTGCTCAGTTAACATGATCTATAACTAATATACTATATATAAAAATTCAAAATAAAAAAATTATGTGATGTTCCTTATCCAAGGTAAATGAAATTTTGCTAAGAAAATTTTTATTATTACAATTACAATGTGAAAATAAATATATAGATCGGGATGTAGCTAGCGATACATATTATTTTTTGATAAATTTTTTGATCCTAACCCTCTTGCTAGATGAGGAACTAGTGTTTTACACAGATCAGATTGCATCAGATTTGGGTAAAATCCAATTTGATCCATATCCGAAAATTCTGAATCTGATTTGATCTGAATCTGATAAATCTGAATCTGATTCGATTTGAATTTGACAAATCTGAATCTGAATCTGTATCCAAATCAAACAAATCCAAATCTGACAAATCTGAAGACAAATCTGAATACGTATCTGAATCCGTATCCATATCTAACAGATCAAAAATTTTTAACAAAAATCTGCCTTCGCCATTCAGAACAACATTTTAATGTTAAAAAATAACAATTTAGTTGTTTTTTTTAATAATGAATGTTGTGTTCAACTTTTGGGGTGGCATTTTATTATTAAACATTAATTTTTTTAATAATAAATATCACCTCTGACTTTTTGGGATGGCATTTTATTATTAAAAATTATTAAAAAATTAAATTTTATTAATAAATGCTGCTTCTGAATTTCAGGGCAGCATTTTAATATTAAAAATTATTAAAAATGAATTTTTTAATAATAAATGCCACGTCTGACTTTCAGGGCAGCATTTTAATATAAAAAATTAATAAAAATTAATTTTTTTATTAATAAATGCTGCATCCAACTTTCAGAGTAGCATTTCATTATTAAACATTAATTTTTTAATAATAAATACCACCTCTGACTTTTGGGATGGCATTTTGTTATTAAAAATTAATAAAAAATTGATTTTTTAATAATAAAGGCTATATTCGACTTTCGGGGTAGCATTTAAATATTAAAAATTATTAAAAATGAAATTTTTTAATAATAAATGTGCGTTTGACTTTCAGGGTGGCATTTTATTATTAAAATTTAATTTTTTAATAATAAATGCTACGTCTGATTTTTGGAATAGCATTTTGTTATTAAAATTAATAAAAAATTAATTTTTAATAATAAATGCTGTGTCTGACTTTCAGGATAGCATTTTGTTATAAAAATTAATAAAAATTAATTTTTTAATAATAAATACCGCGTCTGACTTTTGGAACGGCATTTTATTATTAAACATTAATTTTTTTAATAATAAATGCCGCCTCTAACTTTGGGACGGAATTTTTTATTAAAAATTAATAAAAATTAAATTTTTTTAATAATAAATGCTGTGTCTGAATTTTGGGTAGCATTTATTATTAAAATTTAAATTTTTTTAATAATAAATACTGTGTTTGACTTCAGAGCAGCATTTTATTATTAAAAATCTAACAAATCAAATCGTAATCCAAATCTAAATCTGATAGATCGAATCTGAATCCAAATTCAAATCTGTCAAATTGAATCAAATCCAAATCTGAATCTGATTCAGATCTGACAGATTGAATCAAATCAAAAACTGGATCTGAATCTGATTTGAATCTGATAAATCTGATTCGATCCGATTCATCAGATCTGAATCAGATTCAAATTGAATCAGATTTTTTGCAAAACACTATGGAAAACTATCACGATTCTTCAGCAACCCAATAATAATACTAATTATCCTTTTTATATTGCTTCAAAGTAATTCAGGATTTTCTTTAACAGTGGACTTCGTAAGATTAATCTGATGTTCATTAGCACTTGTGAAGTAAATACCATCTGGAATATATATGATAAAATTTTACTCTATACCTGTGGTTATAATATCATAAATGTAATCAAAATAGTCATTTTTAAATACCTGATCTGCAGTCTGTTTCTTTTTATTTATCTGAAATACACTCTTAAATTATGTCAGATTCTAAGAGATAAAATGAGTTAATATTATTGAATCTCTAAAACACAATCTGAGTAGTAGATCGACCTATTTGGGCATATTCAATCTTGATATTGCGTAATTTCCTCTCAGTAATACATAGGAGGTCTTCTAAACTTTTGATCACATAGTCTACTCGACTTATTACATCTTCACCAGAAACATCCTTTTGTAAAACTATGAATATATTCCCCTTTAGTCATAGACCTTTAGGAAAAAGCCTTACTATTATTTTCTGATCCTAATCCTAAAAAATATTTTACTAAAATAATTAGACTATCTTTTGCAATACTAAAGGTACAAAGGAAAGGATAATATCATCTATACAATAATTGAGCGTCTTATTATCATCATTAATTTTCTTAAAAACTGCAGAAAAAAATAAGGTTAGTATAGTCAACTAGTCAGTCTAAAAAATTAATTAATCACTCACTAGGAGTAAACTGCTTGATATTTGTTATATTTTTCCTATTAACCTTATTTTTACGTAACATTTTCTTCAAGTCGTTGAGAGTCTTAAGTGATGAATAGCTTCATAACTTCTGGCTGAGAACTTCAATAAATTTTGTAAGCCTTATTGCTGAACCTAATACAAAACTAATACTACAGAATTTTTCTTCTATTAATTCAAGAAATTCAGAACTGGTAATTTCTTCTTTGCATAAAATTTTAAAGTAAGACTCTTTGAGTTTCAGGTCTTTTCTTTCCAAATATTCAATAAGCTTCTCTGTATTAAAATCCTTAATAATATTTGATATCGTTCTAGTGGAAATTTCTTCTATTATTAAGACGGGTAAAGCAGATGAAAAAGCTTGTGAAGATATTTTTATATATGTGTTGTATGTGTTTGTGCTTACGAAAAAATTATGCACTTGACTGCAGTTACAGGTAAAGCTGATTTATAGATATAAAAGTATTTTTTTTTGCTTCTGAAGTAAGACATGCTTGAAGATAGTGAAAAGTTTTTTTGTATCAGCTAATGTATCATATTTACTCATATTTATGCAATTAAAATGTAGTACAGGATTGACTTACATATAATGTTTATTGAGACTTACAACAAAAATGTAATATATGCTTTATTTAAGAAAAAAAAATATTGTCAAAGCAACTAATACATAAAAAATAAATTTGCGAATATATCACTGTTACATTTGTGTGAATTAAAAAATACTAATTATTTGTATAGCACTGTTTCAGTAGGAGGATACATAATAACATTGATTCCCTTTTCACTAAAATAGGGTTGAATGGGAAAATGAATAAAAATTCTATCTTGCAGTTCCATTTTTACTGACTTATCTACTAAGAATACGCTGTTGTTTCTTAAGGTGTTGATTATAACGCTATTAGCTACAAACTTAACCTTATATAAGGCTAAACTGGTCGAATAAATATTTTGAAATTGATCTAGACTACAGTTTCTAATTTCATTCACAAGAGAAAAAACTTAATTTTTATTAATGTTAAATATTGTTACTTTAAAAATATCATTTACTCCTTCGTTAGGAATTAAACAATTAAGAATAATGTCTCTACCAGTGAGAACTTTTCAAGTTTATCAGATGTTTTAGACTTATCAGATACCTCAATCTTATCAGACATCTTACTTTCCTAAATATAAGGCCTATTGTGAGAAATTTTCACTCGTATAGATATATAGCTTCTGACATATATGCACCTTAAAAATTTTTGCAAGAAGGTTAATAAACAGAAACTTTCACATACTTCTACATACTTTATATCTTGTTAGAAAAAGATAAAGAGGTATGAAGCATAATTAATATTATTGTATGATGCCAAGAGTTCTATAAAAGTATATGTAAATAGAATCTTCATATTTTTTCACAATATAGATTTATCAGAAAGACTTACACCTAGCGATCTTGAAATTGCAAAATCCTCAATCTTTCATAACATATGTTTTTGTCATCAATATTTACTTTTATAGTGGGTCCTATATTGTGTGTAGACTTTTTTCATATTTTTCTCATATTTGTTGGAAAAAAATTAGAGGTAATTAGTATATATGTTTTCTTTTTTGAATATATGCAAAAATTAATATGTTTTGGCATTTTAATGACTATTGCACAGACCTATTATGTGATCAGCTTATTTTTATCGTACATAAATATAATGCATTAGCCGTGAGGCACTTTGCATAGTTCAGCAAATTCTTTCAAGATAATGATCACTATTCCAGATTGATGATCAGTATTTCAGACTCAAAATTTCCTGCATTAAATATATCTTAACTTATTATAGTATTTATGTCAAATAATACTAATAATAAAACTGATCCAAATGAAATTTTTTTCAATTATATGAGGTGTTTTTATATAAGAAAAAGGATATAACAGCTATTCAGAAAAACTCAGTATTAACAGTAATGTAAATCAAATAGCAGTGCATCAAAGCAATAAAGCAAAAATACTTGCCGATTCATATGAGCTGTTATTAGAATTAGTAGGGGATTTAATGCTGATACAGAAGAATCTCAACATTGATGATAATCCTGTTTTAGAAGTGGAATATCAAAGTAATATAGCTTCTACAGATATTTTATTGAAGGAGATATTTAATTTGCTTATGTATTTGAAAGAGAATATAATAGCAATTTATTATTGGCTACACTAATCAAGAAATAGCAGAAGAGGCTGATAAAACCACAAGAGAATATCTTTGAAAGTTTGAGAAATTTTATAGCCTTTTAGAAGATGTTCCAAGCGTATTAAT